TGTTTTCCAACATGGAAAAGTTGAAATCATTGCTAATGACCAAGGAAACAGGACCACTCCAAGCTATGTAGCTTTCACAGATAGTGAGAGATTGATTGGAGATGCTGCAAAAAACCAGGTCGCCATGAACCCCACCAACACAGTCTTTGGTAAGTGGTTATTTAATACAATTCATTTTCATTCCAAAAATGATTCGCTATGATTAAGTTGATTCCTTGCCATTCGTAGTTTCCACCAGAGGTTGAAAAACCAAAGATGGCCCAAGCACCTTCCTTGGATGTCTGAGCGAAATCTTGACATTATTAGTTTTTGTTTTTTTTTCTCTCCGGTTTCTTCTCCAAACCTCTATATAACTTTTTTTTTTTCTTTTTTTCTTTTTTTCCTCTCTCTCTCCAATAGATGCCAAGCGTCTGATTGGTCGCAGGTTTGATGATGGCGTTGTTCAGTCTGATATGAAGCACTGGCCTTTTAATGTCATCAATGACAATACCCGTCCCAAGGTCCAGGTTGACTACAAGGGGGAGACCAAGTCTTTCTACCCTGAAGAGATTTCCTCCATGGTTCTCACCAAGATGAAGGAAATCGCTGAGGCCTACCTGGGAAAGGTGAGTGATCATTCAGCTGTTTGTGGGGTGGCTCTATTGAAATCCCCTTTGACTTGATATGCTTCGCTATGATGAAGTTGATTCCTTGCCATTCGTAGTTTCCACCAGAGGTTGAAAAACCAAAGATGGCCCAAGCACCTTCCTTGGATGTCTGAGCGACATGCACTATGCTGTAGTTAAACTGTATTATTGTTGGCTTTAGTTCCAAGTGGCAGTTGAGATCTAATTTGCACTCTTTGCAGACTGTTTCCAACGCTGTTGTCACAGTGCCTGCCTACTTCAATGATTCTCAGCGACAGGCCACCAAGGATGCTGGAACCATCTCTGGATTGAATGTTCTGCGTATCATCAATGAACCAACTGCTGCTGCTATTGCTTACGGTCTGGACAAAAAGGTTAGGAAAACTTGCGTGTCAGTAGCATTAAAAATTGGTGATATCCCTTTTTATATATATTTCGCTATGATGAAGTTGATTCCTTGCCATTCGTAGTTTCCACCAGAGGTTGAAAAACCAAAGATGGCCCAAGCACCTTCCTTGGATGTCTGAGCGAAATTTGAGTGTTATACAATTCATAAATGTACATGCAAATATTTATTTCTGCTCTTATTTCTGCTTTTCAGGTTGGTGCTGAGAGGAATGTCCTCATCTTCGATCTTGGTGGTGGCACTTTCGATGTGTCTATCCTCACCATTGAGGATGGCATCTTCGAGGTCAAATCTACTGCTGGAGACACTCACTTGGGTGGGGAAGACTTTGACAATCGCATGGTGAACCACTTCATCACAGAGTTCAAGCGCAAGCACAAGAAGGACATCAGCGACAACAAGAGAGCCGTTCGCCGTCTCCGCACTGCCTGCGAGAGGGCGAAGCGTACCCTGTCCTCCAGCACTCAGGCCAGTATTGAGATAGATTCCCTCTATGAGGGTATCGATTTCTATACCTCCATCACCAGGGCCCGTTTTGAGGAGCTCAATGCTGACCTCTTCCGTGGCACCTTGGACCCAGTCGAGAAGTCACTTCGTGATGCCAAGATGGACAAGGCTCAGATCCACGACATTGTCCTGGTTGGTGGCTCCACTCGCATTCCCAAAATCCAGAAGCTGCTCCAAGACTACTTCAACGGCAAGGAGCTTAATAAGAGCATCAACCCCGATGAGGCTGTGGCCTACGGAGCAGGTGGGTGACTGAGTCTTATTCCTGTGGTTTGTTGTTCGCGATGATGAAGTTGATTCCTTGCCATTCGTAGTTTCCACCAGAGGTTGAAAGACCAAAGATGGCCCAAGTACCTTCCTTGGATGTCTGAGCGACTATTGTCATTGCTATCTGGCCATCTCAAATTGCCCACGGTTCTTATTTCTCACTCTTCTGTTTCAGCCGTTCAGGCTGCCATCCTCTCTGGTGACAAGTCTGAGAATGTTCAGGACTTGCTGCTGCTAGATGTCACTCCTCTGTCCCTTGGAATTGAGACAGCTGGTGGAGTCATGACGGTCCTCATCAAGCGTAATACCACTATCCCAACCAAACAGACTCAGACTTTCACCACCTATTCTGACAACCAGCCAGGTGTGCTCATTCAGGTGGGTGCCAGGTGCTTCTGTTAGGAGTTTAGTCTTTTATCCCACCCAAAGTCCCCTTGGATCATCTTTAACGATGCTATCTTGTTTTAATTATCCCTTCTCAGGTCTATGAGGGTGAGCGTGCTATGACCAAGGATAACAACTTGCTGGGCAAGTTTGAGCTTACTGGAATCCCCCCTGCACCTCGCGGTGTTCCCCAGATTGAGGTCACCTTTGACATTGATGCCAATGGCATCATGAATGTTTCAGCTGTTGATAAGAGCACTGGCAAGGAGAACAAAATCACCATCACCAACGATAAGGGTAAGTCTTGTCTCTGTTCTCTTGAACTAAATTTAATTACTTTGTGGCAGCCACTTCAGAGGTTAACTGGAAGTCCATTTCAGGTCGTCTCAGCAAGGAGGACATTGAGCGCATGGTGCAGGAGGCAGAGAAGTACAAGGTTGAGGATGATGTGCAGCGCGACAAGGTGTCTTCCAAGAATGGTCTGGAGTCATATGCCTTCAACATGAAGTCCACTGTTGAGGATGAGAAACTAAAGGGAAAAATCAGTGATGAGGACAAGCAGAAGATCCTTGACAAGTGCAATGAAGTCATTAGTTGGCTTGACAAGAACCAGGTAAGTTTGCTATTAGTTGAGACATTTGGTTAATTAAGTGGCTTTTGGATTACTTTTTCTAACCTTGCACTGGCAAACTCAAAATTACCTCAACATCTGTGTTTAAACCAGACTGCTGAGAAGGAAGAGTTTGAGCACCAGCAGAAGGAGGTGGAGAAGGTATGCAACCCCATCATCACCAAGCTGTACCAGAGTGCTGGAGGCATGCCAGGTGGAATGCCTGATGGTATGCCTGGTGGCTTCCCGGGAGCTGGCGCCGCTCCAGGAGGTGGATCCTCCGGCCCAACCATTGAGGAGGTCGACTAAGCCATTCCAAAGCCACTGCGCTACCTCCATAGCAATGTTTACTGTTGCCCTCTGTAGTTGGACTCCTCTAAAATTGTTCTTACTATCTTAAGTTTTGGATGACTTCAACTTGCAGAGAGATTGTTGCAATTTAAAAAAAGGGGGATTAAGGGATCACATTTCCAGATCACAGGGAACAGATTTTCTACATAGATTGCACATCCTATTTATCGGCTTGTGAAATGTGAGTTTCATAAGCCTTTTCCAACTGCCTCAATGCTTTAAAGTAAATTAATAAAATGGTGACATTCCCAATGCTGCCTCTGTCTGGTGTTATGTCTTTAAACGCCTCCGTTGCCCATTTTTAATTCGTATTTTTACCTGAAATACTCTTAATTGAGCCAAAAAAAAACTTAATTTTCATTAACCTTTAAATATCAAAGATGAGTGTCCCATCGTGCTGTATTTAATATTTAAAAGGTCTTTGACCGAGAAAATGGCCATAAACTTGGTGAATTCTTGGCAATAGTCATAAGGGTACAGGAAACTCATAAATGCTTTTGAGGAAATTCTCTATCCAGTGCATCAGTCTTACCTTTTGTGTTAGCCGTTTTATCTTTAATGACTTGGGTCGTATAAAATAAGGGTTTAATCTGAGGCTGGCTGCAAAAGGGAGTCAATCCGATAAGACTCCCCATGTTAAAATGCCCAACTTTACAGCAGAAAGAAACATGTTTACAGCCTGGTTAAAAAAAAAAAGATTTTGGTCTATATAGCTAATTTTGCCCTTTATGACAACTGTGAGGGGGGTGATTAATTTTTTTTTAAATTAATTTATTTTTTAAGTCATGCGTTTAAATTATATCAAGCTTTAAAGTTCTGCATAATTAAGGGCGTGGCCACTTGAGTGATGGGTACCTTGCGCTGCTGCCACCACCGGTGCGCTAGGTGGGCGTGGTTTCAGCAATTCATCATTTTTAATGTAAACCTAACCACGGATGGTTAAAATTGCTTTAATGCCCAACTTTACAGCAGAAAGAAACATGTTTACAGCCTGGTTAAAAAAAAAAAGATTTTGGTCTATATAGCTAATTTTGCCCTTTATGACAACTGTGAGGGGGGTGATTAATTTTTTTTTTAATTAATTTATTTTTTAAGTCATGCGTTTAAATTTATATCAAGCTTTAAAGTTCTGCATAATTAAAGGCGTGGCCACTTGAGTGATGGGTACCTTGCGCTGCTGCCACCACCGGTGCGCTAGGTGGGCGTGGTTTCAGCAATTCATCATTTTTAATGTAAACCTAACCACGGATGGTTAAAATTGCTTTCAAAAAGTTATAAAAAAAAACTTTTTATTATATAAAATTATAATTATAAATTATAAAAAGCTTTTTACTGCACTATACGTCATGACGTTACTTAACGTTTCAACGCTCCATGACGAATAGTTTTTCCCTTATATATGTACACCTGATTTACGTACAATATATGATATTGTTACTGAACAACAGAATTATCAAAAATACGTGATTCTGCAACTGTTCTAAGCTTCTGTGTGTGTCCGTCACAGAGGGGCAAGATCTGCGCAGGCGTGGACAGCCATGGCGTCTATGTTTCCACGGCAACAGTTTAGCAAACGAAATGTTCCCTGACAATGAACGTCTCATCTTTCGATGTAGATAGCAGGTAAAAATAAACATTAAATCTGGTGCACATCAATGGATTTCTATACGAGGTAATGTTTTAATGCTTGTAGAAGCGATTTACATTATTTCGGCGTTTAAGGTGCCTTTTCTACATTACGACATGGGTTATACACAGCTGATTTGAAAAGTCAGTCAACAACCGAGTGAACTATCTAACATTTAAAGTAGACGCATAGCTAAATTCAACTTAAATGTGTTTTCACCACTCCTTAATGCTGATTTTATGATATTAGCCATGAAAACGATCGCCTCAGAGCAACGACGCCGTCACGAGCTCAACGGGCCTGATGCGCTGGAACAGACTAAAGTCAAATTCAGCATCAACAATGACTCTAACGATGGTCCAAGGAATAATGTGCCCGCTTTATCGCTAACGTGGGACTCCTTAGAGTCAGATACTGAGAGTTTGGTGCAAGAGGAGGAGTACCAGCGAGAGCTCCAGATGCGCATTGACCTCCTCTCTGTTGAGAACCCCAAACAACATGATGCCAAGACTGACAGTGAAGAACCAGAGCATCTCGATGTTTATGATAGTCTAGATCTGAACCCAAGACAGGTCAAAGGACCACATGAGCCACTGAGGTAAGACAACAGTTGGCGATTTCCCAACCATATATGAGACGCATAACTCCTGCTACCAACGGTAATTGACATGACGTTTCAGTCAGTGACATCAGTCTCCTTTAAAATAATTAAAAAAAAAAAAATATATATATATAGACGGTCTTATGTCTTCACAATAATTGCAAGGCAACATTGAATATATGCCACTTTTTAAAAGATAGTTCACCCAAAAATGAATATTCTGTTATCATTTAGGCTACTCACCCCCATGTCGTCCCAAAACCTGTATGCAGGGCCGGTGTTCTGACAAATAATGCTACCTATGAGATTATGCTACCAACACTGTATTTATCCTACTGTAAGGGTAGGTTTAGGGTTGGGGTAGGTGTACGCAGGGCCGTTTCTAGCCAATTTGACGCCCTAGGCGAAATCCCTATAATTTCAGCTTTATCTTTAACAGCATTCAAGATGTTTTTAACATTTCAAAACACATTATCTTGTTAGCAGACAGATTACACTTTCACATGTGACCAATAATTCCACAACAAATATAAAATATCATAATGAAATATTATCAAAATATTCAACTGACGGGTTGACACATCTGACGGTGGTGACGAAAACCTGAATTTGTAGTCAATTTAACTATCAAATACATTGAATCAGTCAATTACTGTATTATAACAAACACAACAAACAGCGAGTATGTTATTGTTTATAAAGCTTTTATTTAAGAGTCACATTTAAGTATTTTGATATATCACTGGAACACAAAATCTTATGGTGGTGACATCTGATGGGGTTGACAAATATGATGTTGGGGGATCCAGTGGGGGCGACAGTCATATTTCAGGGTGACCGTGCCACTCTTTATCACAACCCTGCTAAAAGTGCCAGTACGTGTGCTCATTAGCGCCCCTTCAGCTGGTGGCGCCCTAGGCGACCGCCTAGCTCGCCTATGCCTAGAAACGGCCCTGGGTGTACGTGTTAATAAAGCCTCGGGCGGCAGCAGAGTCAGGGCGGGAAAAAGGACAGAGATTTTAGTTTATGTTTTGGGCATTCTTTGGAATTATTGCACTCATCTCAACAAGTTATCACCCCTTAGTTATTCTAACTCTAAATTAACTTAGCTTCATAGTAATGCCGCTCCCGGACTGTGCCCCACCTGAGCGGCGTCAATATCATATGCAAACCACCCTCATCTACTTCCATAAATGTCATCAAAATGAATAAAACTATCCGGACATGAATTACTTTTGCTGCTGGTGATGTCTGATGAGTTTTAAAGCCCAACACGCGTTTCTGAAAGGTAAGATTATAGCCTACTAGAAAACGTTGGGGGGAGACAGGTGGATACATAAAAAAAACAACAACAAAAAAAACACGGTTTTGGACCAAAACCGTATTTTGTTTTTTTTAGCAGGTAGGCTAGATATTTAGCCTTTATCATTAATAATGCTACGAACAGTTTAATTTGTAAATTGCGAGGTCCCGGAATAAAGCGGTTGACGGATCCGGCAAGTGATCAGAGGATGGAGAGTTAATGTAGCATTCGCGCAATCATTTAGTGGACCCACTTAAGTGATTACCAGCTTGCATCAGTTGCTTTTATAGTATGCACATATAGCCTACTCTAAAAATCATGGTTATTTTATTGCAACATTTTTTTCGTGTTTGGGTAGTTTTTGTGTAACCCAACTCCTGGGACAGGAGAGTCGCAACAACCCAGTGTTTGTAATGAGTGCAGATATTTTGCAATGTTGTATACATGTTTAAACGGTAAAATATGTTGTATTAAGAACTGTATTTAACTAAAAGGCAAAAGAAAGAAAGATAAAAAATGTCAAAATAAATGAAAAACTAAAACGAAACTAAACCAACAGCAGTTATTGAACACCTAACTAAAAATAATAATCAAAAATAAATAATCGTTTTCTAATCAATCTCAGCATGTTTTAATTTTGTGTCGCTAGAGGTTTGCCTCAATAAGCTTAAATTAAAATGTCTTTGGTCTGCGCTCTGGAAGTGTTCTGTTAATTCTGCTAAACTTTAATTACTAAATCTAAAATTAAAACTGAAACTAAAATGTATAAAAATTAAATAGGCTATAAATCTGTTCACTAAATAAAAACTAAACTAAAATTAACAAAATTATTAATGAAACCAATAAAAGTATAAATTGAAAGCGATATTAAAATAAAAATGAATTTAAAAATGCAAAACTATAATAACCCTGACACGAACATCTTTCAATGGTGTGGGAGGAGGTGGGGTTCCGCCAAATTAGGTTATCGGAATTCGGAGGTGCTGGACCCTGACCCAGCTTGTTCAAATTACACCCTGACTACGAATAGGGATTTCGGCTGTATGAGCACGTCTCTTAGTGAAAACGAACAACAGAGAATTGGGCTTTCCCTGTCCTGAACAACGTTTGTCGAGCTGCTTACCGGGAATTCTCCCAAATCTTCCCATGGCCACTTCAGGCCTGTACATACACTTAATTTGCTTTTGCAGCTATACTAGTGGTTATTTTTTATTAAAAAATTTTTTTATGTTGCAGTAGGAAAAAAATTGAATAATCACAAAACACCCTGTGTCTGCTTTATTTTAATGCAGTTGTACCAATAAACAAAATCTCCAGTCTTTCACATGCATCTTAAAGATCGTGTTTAATTGTGAATGTCCCAGCTAACAGGGAACGTTCCCAGAACATTCACTAACGTTCTTTGAAACGTAGTGGGGGCGGCACGGTAGGGTTTTGCCTAGAGCGGCAGTTGAGATCACGCCGGCCCTGCCTGTATGACTTTACTTTTTCCTCTGTGGAACACAAATGCAGATATTTTGAGTAACATCTTAGTACTTTTTTTTTGTCCATATAGCCTAGTAGCCAAAACTGCTTTTTACATTCTTCAAAACAACTTCTTAAGAAAAAAAAAGTCATACCAGTTTTGAACCACATGAGGCTGAGTAAATGATGACAGTAAGTTTTGCTGAACTATCTCTTAGTGATTAAAAAATTATGAAAAGGAATTACCCATTACCCATTAAATGTTAATGCAGGTGGTTGTTTGTCAAATCGGGGCTATATTTTAATATACAACATCCTTATGACTCCTAAAGGCTTTTGTAGATTTGTCATACATCCCAAGTCTGTTTATAATGAACTATCTGTCAAGCACATCCAGTTCCAAAAGTTCAGGTGTGGCGGTTATGACAAAATTAAAGAATGTATTAAGTTCTTTCTTTTTTTCAGTTCACAAGCAGAAACTGTTCAGAGTGCAAGCTAATAACATCTGTATGGTCGATTCAGTCTATGATCATAATGATGTTCCCTTTCGAATTCGGTCACTCTACATTGCTATGGGAATGTAGAGTGACCGAATTCGGTCACTCTACATTGCTATGGGAATTACCCTTTCTTCCAAATACTACTGAAGCCTTATTGAATCACGCCAGTGAAACTGGCCAATGGCGTTCAAGCGCGCAAAATATGAGGGGCTCCCACTCTATATAAAGCAGCGCTTGTACGTCATTTATTCAGAATCTTTTCTTCAGCCAACCTTCTTCGAGAAGCAAGAAGCCTATCAACAAGACTACTCACCGCAATCTACACGCTGCAGCGGATACGCCTTCTCTTCCCCTGCTGTGTTCCGTGAGCTTTGTAAACAAAGATGACTCGCAATTGCCTCTCCTGCGCAGAGCCAATTGAACTCTCTGATGGCCACAAGTCCTGCATCTTCTGCCTGGGTCGCGCCCACGCAGAGGCTGCACTTGGGGGGTCGGACTGCCCCCACTGCAGAGATATGAGCCTCCGGACTCTCAAGCTCCATGTGGCCATCGTCCAAGGCGATGAACTCGCCCAACTAGCCCTGCCGCGCTCTTCCTCTGCAGCCTCTTTCGAGTCAAGGAGGAAGGTGCCGGCTCAGTGCCCACGCGCTCCTCACTCCCCTGCTGCAGGTCCCCTTCCAGTGCACTCCATGACCGCTGTTCTCCGCCCCTCCCCCATCGCTCAAGATGTGGTTTCCTTCGGTGCCTTGGAGGGTGCTGAAGAGGAGGATGATGCCATTTCGGTGGCAGCGTCTGCGAGAGAGGAGTGGTCTAACAGCCTGCTGGATTACACTGCACCCCACGGCAGTGACGCAGGGGACCTCCATCATAGTGATGTCGAGCTCCTTGGCGTGCTGTCCAAGGCAGTTGATGAGCTCGGTTTGGAGTGAGCGCCTCCTGCCGAGCCGGCCAGAAGCCTTCTGTATGAGTGGTACCTTCAGTCGGATCGCGGCCAAAAGGACACCCCGCGGAGGCCTGGTCCCTTTTTCCCCGAGGTGCACGATGAGATAACGAAGTCATGGAACGTGTCGCTCTCCAGTTGAGTGCACAACCCGGGATCCTCCCTCCTGTCTTCTGTGGCCGGCACTGACCAAGTGGGGTATGTTAAACTTCCCCCCGTGGAAGAAGCTGTCATTGCCCATATCTGTCCTTCAGCCATGGCGAACTGGAGAGTGAGAAACGACGCGTCTCTTCGCTATCGAATTATGCTACCATCTGTTTTAATGGGAGGTAGCAAAATCTGACAGGGTAGCACAAATCGCCAGAACACCGGCGTGTGCATATAGGTGAACTAGGTTTACTAGTTTACTCCACTGCAAACTTCGCCGGCAAGGCTTTCTCCGTGGCAGGCCAAGCAGCTTCAGCACTGCACGTGATGGCGATACTCCAGGTGTACCAGGCCAAGCTGCTCAAGTCTCTGGAGGAGGACGGGCCTGTCCCTGAAGTGTTCAAAGAGCTCCGACGCGCCACGGATCTGGCCCTCAGAGCGATGGTGGTGACAGCTTGAATGATCGGCCGCAACATGGGGAATCTTGTGGTGCTAGATCATCACCTGTGGCTTACTCTGACCGAATTAAAGGACTCAGAAAAAAACGGCCCTTCTGGACGCTCCCGTGAATCCCTCAGGTCTTTTCAGTGCAGCGGTAGATACGTTCACGGAGTGCTTTGTTGAAGCGCAGAAACAGTCGAAG